ACTTTTTCCAGCTGAGGACACAGTATAATTACTGGTTCTAGTATCTGTCATTTCTTGTTCTGTAATCAAGGGAACTAACCAAGTACAGAAAAAGGAAAATGTGATCCTGGATCAATACTATTAGACATATTTCAGTAGTGAGATTAGACAGTAATTGAGGATTAATTTTGTGAGTAAATAATGATTATATGCAATAAAAGGTATGACTGACTATAAATTGGTTGCAGTGCTAGTACTTGATAGTATATTTAAAAAGCTGGTAGGAGAAAAGTTTAAATATGTTGATACTTGGGGAAGTATCCAAGCTAATAAATATTGGAGATTGAATTACTGCCTGCTATCATTTACATGCATATTAAAACATACTTTACCCTCCCCAGCATTAATCTCTGATAAATAGCTGTCATCCTATGGTCATACAGCTGTAAAACAATGAAATCCTATGGAACTCTATCCTTTTTTATAATGGGAGAGGGAGCAACCATTTGGACATGTCATGCTCCAGTGATGTTCTGCAGCACATTTCTTTAGAGTACTTTGTCTGCCACTTTTCTAGAAAAAAAGCTACTCAAAGTGTTTCACCATACAGGAACAAATATTAAAAGTGAAGCAATATTAAAAATAAAGTAGCAATCCAGTAGAACTAACCATAAACAGCAAGAAACAAAACTATTCCTATCCAGTAGCTCATAAAAACTGACAGCACTAAAAAAGCAACAGAAAAGCAAGCTGAACAAATGGAAAATGAAACAAAACCTCATTTCATCTAACTATCCACTACACCCCACAAGATCTCTTTCCATAGCTATTATAACAGTTGTGTATATTGATTTTTTTCAAAGGGGAAAATATACGTTCCCACAAGTTAAATGTATGCATATAATTTCTTGTATTGCAGGCCAGAAAATACATAGAATCTCTACCATATATGCCTCCACAAGATTTGAAGGCAGTATTTCGTGGTGCTAATCCATTAGGTAAGAGTTGGTGTGACTTTGCTGTAGGAAAGGTAGCTGCACTAAGTCAAACCACCCCAAGAAGGGAGTGCCCAGTGATTCATGGAGAAACCTCCCCAGTCTCTTTCCCAGCTGGCCAATGTTGATGGGAGGGGGTGAGGGGGAGTGGAGAGAAGGCCCAAAGCCAGGCGTTCGCAACTGAAAGAAGAAGGGCAGGGAGGAGCTTTAGGAACTGCTTCCCCTAGAACCTAAATATAGTTGCCTCTAGGAGTACATGGTGAGGAAAACACGGGGACTTGGCCTTAGCTGGAAAGGAAAGATCTCAACGTAGCCTTGTGGGGCTTTGTCCACCCGAGCCAGTGTTGTCTCTCCACATACCTCTGGAACCAAATGGGTCAGCACCTTGTGCTACATGTGCTGATCCTGATAGCAGGCTGGGCCTGTTGCAGCAGCATCGCTGTCAGGCCCGTAGCTAGGAATTCTTCCAGGTGGGGTGGGAGCCAGGTGTGTGGGGGTGTTTATTTAATTAATGGAGCTAAATTATTAGTATTATCAATCCATCCCCAAGAGAGCATCCAAGGCTGATAGTCCTGGGTGATTTCAGTGTCCACGCCAAGGACACAACCTCCGTACAGGCAACAGACCTAGTATCATCCATGGCAGCACTAGAACTCTCCCAACATGTTACGGTACCCACTCACCAGGCAGGGCATATGCTAGATTTGATTTTCACAGTGTGGGTTAGTGTGGACTAGATTACTACCAAGGCAGTACCATGGTTGGACCACCATGCTCTGAAGGCCCAAATGAATATACCACCCCAACCCTGTTTGGGCGGTGAGCATATTTTAGCTCGCCCATGGAAGGCAGATGGACCCTATGTGGCTTCAGATGACTCTGCGGGATCCTGTGCCCCTGATGGCTTGTTAGATGAGCTCGTGGAAGTCTGGCATAGCTGACTTTCCATGGCCATTGACAAGATCACTTCCAGGCACCCTCTGCATCTCCACTCTAAGCTAGCTCCGTGGCTGATGAAGCGGAGACTAAGACGGCTAGAGAGACCATGGCGGCATCCCCGCAACGAAGCCCCAAGAGCATCCTATAGGTCATTTATGAGGACCTATGAGATGGCAATCAAGGACACTAAGAAAGAGTATTATGTGCCCTTGATTGCGTCTCTGAGCTCACGCCCGGCCCAATTATTTAGAACAATTCGGTCTCTGACTACTCTGCCCCTTGGCAGACCAAATGCTAGGGAATTGGATATTGGCTGTGAGGCTCAAGCTTTTTTGCAAATAGTCTTGTCACTCCACCGTGACCTCCCTGCCACAATTGAGACAGTAGCTGAATCCACGCATGTCTTCAAGTCAGATCATGGATCATTTCACTTGGCTCAGCCTGGAAGTTGTTGACAGCATTATCTCGACTGTATACCCAACCACTTGCAGCCTTGATCCATGCCCATCATGGCTCATTAAAGTGGGCTGTGTTGGGCTGTGAGATCCCCTAATGGAAATTGTCAACAAGTCCTTCTAGAAGGAACCTTCCCTGGGGCACTTAAGGAAGCAGTGGTTCACCCTCTCCTAAAGAAACCATCATTAGACCCGGCCGATTGGCAAACTATCAGCCAAATTGTCCTACTTGGGCAAGATTATTGAGAGAGCGGCGGCAATTCAGCTTCAGAGTTTTCTGGATGATGCTAACATACTAGACCCATTACAGTCTGGCTTCCGCCCAGGCCATGGGACAGAGACAGCACTGGTCGCCCTCATGGATGACCTCAGGAGGCATCTGGATCAAGACGGAGTGGCGGTACTGCTGGCGGTATTGGACATGGTTGACCACCAGTAACTGATCTTGCCGACACTGGAATTCAGGGGTCCACCTTACAGTGGCTGTCCTCTTTCCTACAAGGTTGGGGACAGATGGTGGCGCTAGGGGAGCAGCTGTCTCAAAGACACCCACTGGTTTGCGGAGTGCTACAAGGGGCTCTCCCCAATGTTATTCAACATCTATATGCGCCCCCTTGCCCAGATTGCCCAGAGGCATAGGCTGGGAAGTCACCAATATGTGGATAACACCCAGCTCTATCCGTTGTTGGGCAGCCAGTCTGACTCTAAACTGGAAGATCTGGACCTGGCATTACAAGCCATAGCTGGGTAGCTGAGGCTGAGCTGACTGAAATGAATCTGACGAAGACAGAGGTCCTGTGCCTGAGCTGCTGCAGTCCAGATTTAGGGATCCCACTGCTGATCTTCGATGGGGTACCACTGGCGCCAGCATTGGATGTTAGGAGTCTGAGAGTGCTCTTGGATGCCTCCTTAACCATGGAGGCCCAGGTAGCAGTCACTGCCAAGTCAGCCATTTACCATATTTGGCTGATTAGACAGTTGATTCCCTTCTTTGAACGCAACGACTTGGCAACAGTGATCCATGCAATGGTCACCTCGAGACTAGACTACTGTAATGCTTTCTACGTGGGGCTGCCCTTGTCCCAAATCTGGAAGCAACAGCTAGTGCAGAATGCAGCAGCCAGGCTGTTATTGGGCCTCCCTCTTAGAGAGCACATTTAGCCTGTGCTGAAAGCACTGCACTGGCTGTCTATAGCATACCGGGTTTGCTTCAAGGTGCTCGTTCTTACCTATAAAGCCCTATATGGCCAGGGACCTGCATGCCTGAGGGACCGCCTTTCCCCATATGTTCCCCAGAGAGTACTGTGGTCAAGTTCACAGAATCTTCTTGTTCTCCCTGGCATGAAAGATGCCAAGTTGGCCATAACCAGGGCTAGAGCCTTTTCTGTGGCAGCTTGGCTTTGGTGGAACGAGCTCCCTGAGAACATCAGGGCCCTGCGGGATTTATTAAAATTCCACAGGGCCTATAAGATGGAGCTCTTCTGCCAGGCATTCAAGATGCCACATTCCAACTGAATACTATGCCCTACCATCTACTCTTGGCCGCCAGCCTAATATCTGTGCCCATATGAAAGAACTCAAGCCCTAAGGAGCCTGACACCAGCTGCTGTTTTCTCCAATCATGGATGTCTAAGACAGTTCTGCTGTCTTATGTGAATGGCATTTAAAAGGGTTTGTTTGATTGAAATTGTTAAATTATTATATGTATTGTTTTACTGGTTATAATGCCTATGGCCATGTTAGCCACCGTGAGCCTGCCTCGATGGGGAGGGTAGGATTAAATCTAATTAATTAATTAATTAATAGCAGCCAAAAGAGGACCAGAAGGTTGTCCTCCTTAAGAGCGAGTCCACTTTAAACTGGGGAGACCAAGACGGAGGCAGCCGCCGCCTAAAGGCAACAGCAGGGAAGAGCCAGTGGCCTTTAAAGTCAGAAGGCTTTGCAGCACCGGCGGGATTGAGCTGAGGGGCCAAACAAGGAAAGCCCCAGGATCCAGCATGCCTCCTTGTTTCCGTGGCGAAGCACCTGGTGAGGGAGGAGTTTGCTGCTGGCTGCTAGTGTCATGTGATAACCAGCAGGGAGCTCCTCCACGGCTGCAAAAGGTTGGCTCCCTGGCCCAGCAATGGGCGCACTGCTCTTCTTTGTGGAGAGGGCATTGCGAAGGGGGCACCCCTGATGCGATATGGGGCACCACCTGCTGCACCCTCCTTCCCCTGCTAGCTATGGCTCTGATCACTGTGGCTAGAGCAGTTGCTGCTGCTGCCACCATCTCCAGCAAGCAGCACCAGAAGATATGGAAGCAGCTGCAAGGAGACTGGACACCTCCCCTAATTTGAGTATCCTGGGAATCTTTCCAAGCCAAAGGGAGGAGTAAAAACACAGATCCTTTCATGTTTCTGCACATTACTGCTTGAAGCCTATGATCGATCTCCATTTTTTAACTAAATTTAGCTGCCAAAAGGTGTGGGATATGCTCATAGTTTTTAGTATATTCCTACTGAATGTTTTCATGTAAAATGACTTGAGTGTGCTGGTTGTTGACTGTAACAATAAATCTGAGTATATTCGTACAGGGGGCATGGCTAAGGGATGTTGTGAAGAGCTTCTGAATTTACCACTTAAACTAGTGCAAAATAGTAATTATAAGTATAAATATTTATTATCAATTTAAGTACTTAATAGGCTAGAACGTTTCAGACCTGCTTACTCCAAGTGATTTTGCTACACATGGCTCTATGTGATGCTTCTCATTGGCTAAGAAGGCAAAATGGGTTCTTTCATACTCAGTTTTGATTTTAAAATCCTAGCTGTGGATCTCCTTGAGAAAATGCTTATCCTGGACAGTGATAAAAGAATAACAGCCTCGGAAGCACTTACACATCCATACTTCGTACAGTATCATGATCCTGACGATGAACCAGAAGCAGAGCTGTATGATGAGTCAATAGAGAATAAGGAACGGGTTATAGATGAATGGAAAGGTAAGGGTTTTGTTCAGCAATCGAAAGGCAAAGGAGAAAATTAAAATGTTTTAAAGCACTTTTTTGATAATACCTCCATGACTGGAAGTCCCATAAATGCCAAATTTACCAACTTGGGCAGGTCTAAAGCTGATACTGTGAGCATACAAGTGAAAAAGCTAGAGATAATATTAGTACCATCTTTTCACTGTTCATTCTTCTTACCTGTTATGCATATCATCTACTCAAACTGCAACTGAACTTGCCACTGTCTACTTAGGACTTGTCTGCCATGCCTCTTGATGGCTGGAAAACTTGCACAATTTCTTTCTCTCTAGCTGTATCTGCATGGTAAAGATTCTTTGTTCCGTGTTCTTTGCCATTGCAAATGTAGAGGTGTTCGCATTGACAACAGAGCCTCCACATGAGAGTTTTCTGTACATTTCCCTCTGTCAGCCTCCATTTTCCTTGAATTGTTTCCCCACTGCCACAGGAGGGCTTAAAATACCCCTGATGATTGTTCTAATTCTATAGCAATTACTGATGGTTTTAAAAGCCCATGAAAAGTCCTATGGTAATAAGGTGGGGGGAAATTGCAGCCATGAGAGGATAATGGAAGTCCTACCTACTCATGTGGGTGGGGCCTTGGAAAATACACACCTGCTGGAGTGTTTTTGTGTTTTTTTATAAAAATCTGCCCTCAAAGGGTAGAATTTTATTTGTTTTTTCATAACAAACAAACCAAACATACACACATATAACACAAACGGGGGTATCAAAGTTTCCAATAATTGCTTAAGTTTCCAATAATTGCCTCTTAAATATTCTCTAATGCAATATCACGTATCATTATTTTCTATGAGCTCACTTTTTCGTATCTTAAAACCAACATCTGTACCTGCTATCTCAATGTGCTAACCTATACTTTGCTCTAGGGATTACATTTTTAGGTTACAAAAATTTGCGCTATTATACCAATTATAGAAGCGCCTCCATGTGTTCTGGAATGTATAGTTTGTGGATCCTCTTATCAACAAAGTCAATTTATCACTTTCCGCTGTTTCCATCAGTTTTTGTATATATTCCTGCTTTTTTGGTACATCTTGTGCCTTCCAGTATTTGGCATATAGCATTCTTGCCGCTTTAGTTAAGTAGATAATTAAATATCTGTTGCTTTTTTCAAAGTCTTTATGTAGTATATTCAGTAGCATTACTTCAGGCGTAAATGGAATTCTACATCCCAATATGTTCTGCATTACTGCATTAATCCATCTCCAGTATCTCTTAGTTACATCACAATGCCACCACATATGATAAAAGGATCCTGTACTAGATAAACACTTCCAATATTTGTTAGAACACTTACTATTCCCTTTAGCTATTCTATCAGGTGTTATATACCATCTGTAAAACATCTTATACATATTCTCTTTAAATGCAATAGCTTTCGTTATCTTAATGTTTTCTTTCCATATTTGTTCCCATTGTTCTAATTCAATATTATGGCTTACATTCTGTGCCCATAAAATCATATTAGGTTTAACAGTCTCATCATACATCATATCATTAAGTAAAAAGACATAAGTTCTTTTAATCAACGTAGAGTCCACCGAGGTCAAAAAAATTTCCATGTCTGTTAAGTCTTCATAAAAGCCTAATTTTTAATCTTTATTGTACCTGGATTCCAGTTGCATTTTGCGCCACCACGATAGACCTTCTGTCCAGAATATCCTTTTATCTTATTAATTCTTCTTCCTCATGTATATTTGGTAAAGTAAAAGCCTCAAGCGGTGCAATAAGTCTAGAGTTTTTGCTATAAAATCTTTTAAAGATAAAGTCCCAAACTTTCAAAAGTGCTGCTCGTAGCCAATGTTGCTTAAATATTTCTGTGTTAAAGCTTTTTCATACCACAGGAAAGCATGTCACCCTAGTAGTAGATCATGTCCTTCAAGTTCCAGTGTTCTCTTATCCTCTAGCGTAATCCATTCTTTTATCCAGACGAGCACTGCTGATCTGTAGTATAAGCCTCCTCTTTCTTTAATATCTTGTAAAGCCTTCAGTCTTATTCTTGGTCACTTTCCCTGCCATGCTGGAGTGTTTTGGAGTACATAAATCAGCTTTGGTAATAATGTCATTTTTATAGCATTAATTCTGTCTAAAAGAGACAGGGTTTCCTGAGTAAATAGTGTGTCCTTCCCTCCCCCCCAAAACAGGGTCATAATTAGCCACAAATATTCTTTTGTTAGACAAAGACCTGTGAATACCTAAGCATTTAACCATGTCTACACTCCGTTTTATTTCTGTAAGCCAGCTGCTAATGGGTAACTCTGAAGATTTAATATTTACTAGTTGCATGTCAGTTTTCTGAAGATTTAATTTGTATTCTGAAATGCTAGAGTACATTTTAATACATTTTAATAAAATAATGTATTAAAAGAGAACTCTAATTCTGATATAAAAAGAACTGTATCATCAGCATAAAGCCCTGTTTTATACTGACATGATTTAACTGTAATATCTATAATATCCGGATTAGTCTTAATATAAATGGCAAGAGGCATGGCATCTAGTTTTTGGAGCATTGTCACAATGTCATCCACTAATCATCCACTGTCTGCATTTTCCCCTTGTTTTTTGCAGCTTTTTCCCAAACATTGTTTATTACATTTCTTTAAAGATAGCAGCCCAAGTGACTTTGCACACTGTGAATGGGCAGGGCCTTCAAAATGCTGCACACCTTTCCATTCACAGTGTGCAAAGTCACTTTTAATCATTCAGTAAAAAAGGGGGTATTATGCACTTTTTGTTGCAGAGGTGACAACTGGTGGGGTCTGAGGTAGATATGACAAATGCACTTAAAAGAATGTCACATAAAAGTCTTCCCAGCATATATGGAAGGTTGCATATGTGCACCGTTCTTGCTGAATTGAAGTGTGTTAACTACATTGTTAATTAAATATTGGTGCATTCATGCTTTGTAATGGCTCCAGACTTTGCCCAACCTTCGTTAATGGCATAGCAAAACAATCAAAGGATCAGGCTCCAAGTGTATTTTCCTAACCCATATTGAATATTTTGTTCTTTTTTGGGTTTGTTTTGACTTTCATACATATATGTTGTGGATATGACATCTCTGCGTGCCTTATACCTGTATTACTTTCTCTTCCTTTTTCAAAAAGAACTTACATATGAAGAAGTCATCAGCTTCAAACCTCCTGATTTAAAGTTGGATAGCCTTGAAATTGAACAGTGAACCCAGACGGCTGATGTTTGGACCCTGCTGTACTGCAAAAACTACTAAGCACATAGCATTGCAGTTTAATTTTGTATACTCTGAGTATTGATTTTACTATCCAAAGATCCTGGAGGGGCTAAAGAAACGGTGATAAATAATGCTGAAGAAATTATCTGGGAGTGCATTTTGCCTTGTACTGTGAATGTAACATTAAGACATTCTGACATATGATGCACTGAGGTTATTTTTTTTAACTGTGTCTTCTCTGCATGTCTCATTTTATCAGTTGTGATGCCAAATAAGGAAGGTGATTTTTAATTATTGTTTTGAAGTTGTACAGTTAAAGCATGAATGTATGTTGAAACAAAACATAGAAGTCCATATAAGCAACTTATTGTTTTTAAGAGTTACCCTGATTCTATGTTGTGTTTTTCTTTCTATTTTTTTCCCTATTTATAGATAGTAGCCTTTAAGAAAAGGGGCCATTGTAGTAAGCTAGACATTACATTTCACTGTAGTCATGCCTGTAATGGTTTCATGAACATGTTAGGAAATTCTTGATTGAGTGATTGAGCATCAGTTGGAACCTGGTCAATAAATCATTGTTTTCTGATATTGTTAATCTCTTCCCCCCCCCCCAGCTAAAGCAAACTACACATTAGTGATCTTCCCCTAGAGCAGTCCACATCTATTAAACCCCAGAATCCCAAAAAAAACTAGTGCAGCTGAGCCGAAGCAGTGCAATCACCACTGAAACTTCAGGATCCTGGCTGGCTGCAGTGGGAGGGCTTAGGTGTCTTGTGGGGGAAGCCATCCCAGGGTGATGTCATAGGTAGGCCCCAGGACAAGTGCAGTCATAAACCATTGTGGCCCATGGAAATGTTTTGAGTTTTGCACCCGTGGCTTAATTTAATTATAACTGCAACACATCCAGCATAAGCTTATTTAAATACTTCTACCCAATATTTCTCCCCTATGGGAACCCAAAACAATTACAAAGTACAATTTAAGCAAACAAACATTAATACTCCTAATGCTTGGTCAGGTATTAGATTCATCAGCCCAGCTCACTTAGAGGTCATTGGCTAAGATCTTGCTCGCTGAACTTGAGACAAAGGCTTGTGCCTCTGATCACGCCCAGGTTTAAATACCTCGAGTAAGAGGAGAAACAGCCTCAGTCCAGGTCTTAGTCAGATGCTGCTAGTAGATGTGGGAGTTGTTGTACTATGTGTTATTCTTGTACTGTTCTGGGGTGAATTGTGCCTATTTATGGCAGCTTGCAGAAGGTCCCTACCAAAAACAGGCAGTGAAAGGAGAAGTGGACAGGTTCTTAAAAGAAAGGGGTTTGAGAGTCTGTATTCTCCCTTTGTTCTTTCTATCTCTCCTCTGTGCTGCTGTTCCAAACTATCTGTATGTTTTTTTTAATTGTTGATAATTAATTTCTCGTTCCTACTTGGAAAGAGCATCTGGCCTCATTTTGTTTGCTCCTCAGCAGTCATGGATTGCTTTAGGGCAGGGGTGATGAACTCATGAGGGCTGGATCTGGCATAAGTGTCACTTTGTCATGCCAGGCCATGTTTGCCATAAAATGTAATGCCAGGTACCGGAGATATAAACTTTATAAAGGACACAGGCAAACTGAATGAACAATATTGTTTTTTACTCAAAATACAAACAAAAGCAATTGATTCCTACAAGTGAAAGCAATTAACTTACTGGGCAAACCACAAAAGCCCCAATAAATGTATTCATATGTAAGACTAGGGCCCCGGTCACACGGGAGGCTTTGATCCACAAAAGGGATGGATCGGGGGCACATCAAGTGGGCGCGATCACACTACAACATCTGAGAAGTGGCGCGCACCCGTCCCCGATCCGTCTCTTCTGGCCGAAGATGCGGATCAGAAAAAAACCTACGAAACACTAGTACTTACCGAAAAATCCGCTGCAGGGGCGGACGGGTGATCGCCGGCGCACCCATTTCTCCCGCAGGATGCGAGGTCCTGCCGAACTGCGCATGCATACACATGTGCAGCGGGCTCGCCTCGCTCTGTGGTCCGTGGCTTCTCCCTGGCATCTGATCATGCTGGGGAGGACCTGCACGGCGGCTGGGGGGATCTGTCTGATCCCGCCACCGCGCTTCTCTTTTGGTGCAGCTCAAAAAAGCCACACTTTGGCCACGCCTATTTTCCCCAGTGTGACCGGGGCCTAGGTTTTTTTCCCAAGGGATACCATATGCAAGACTGGGTTTTCCCCAAGGGATACCATAAAGGGTTACATTTCCATACCAATTTGTGTGTGTATCCAATATATATAATTCCTTTACGTATTGGCCATTTCCAGCTCTCCCATTGGCTGTGCAGTGCATTCCATCAGCCATTGGCCCATCAACCGCCATTCAAGAGTACTCGCATGCCATTGGCTGGGTGCTGAGTCTGCTCCTCTCTCCCACCCATGCCAGCCTGGACACTATTCCTTCACAAAACAAACTATCAAAACGGCTGTCTCTTCTGACAAAGACACTTCTCCTACTTGGCTCCTGTGGGACTAATTTTTCCCTCAGTGGATGTTGCCAGGCAACCAAGCTTGGTTCTGTCAGTAAAAAGGCAAAGGAAGGAAGCCCTTTCCAAGCCTTTGTGGGAAACTCATTGGGGCCAGTCCTGACTAGGGCTGCCAGCTCCAGGTTGGGAAATTCCTGGATATTCTGTGGTAAAGTCTAAGGAAGCCAGAGTTTGGGGAGGGGAGAAGCCTCAGCTGAATAGAATGCCATAGAGCCCACCCTCCAAAGGAGTCATTTTCTCCGGGTGGGTGGAGAGATCTGTTTTCTGGAGTTCAGTTGTGATACCCGGCAATCTTCAGGCTCCACCTGGAGGTTATGTAAAAGTATATAGCACTGTGTATAATAGATGTATGTTCAAGGTAAATCAATTTTGTGCTTTTTATTTTTCTTATTTATTTTTCTATACTGTTATAATCTAAGATAGCATATCTCTCAAGTTCTATTGAGTAATCACAGCCATTGGAAAATTAATGTTACTAGCACTTTATTGTGTTGTACAGTTTAAATGATTTTAGAATTGTTTTAACTTAAATCGATAATCATGTTTTATTGTAAATTATGTATTGATTTTATGTAAGCCGTCCTGAGCTGGCCTTAGCTGGGAGGGCAGGGTAAAAATCCAATAAATAAATAAATAACTTTGATTTACCTTGAACATACATCTGTTATACATAGTGCTATATACTTTTGCACATCTTCCTAACACTGTGACCCTCAGCTTTTGTATTTTCTACCTGGAGGTTGGCTACCCTAGGCGTAGCAGTTAGCGCTTCAGAGCAGGGTCTGCTAGACCCAGGTTCTTGCTGTACAAGTTGAGTGGGTGATTTCAGACCAGTCACAGACTTTCAGCCTAACCTACCTCACAGGGTTGTTGTGCAGATCAAAAGAAGGAGAGGAGAATGAACTGCTTTAGTTTCCACTGCGGAGAAAGACTGTACTTTTCCTCCTGGGGAACCATTGCTGTCAATCTCCAGGTGAGGACTGGAGATCACTCAGAATTAAAACTGCTCTCCAGATGGTAGAGATCAGGGGCAGATAATGGTAGGTTGATGGTTGCCTGGGAAGGAGACAGGGTTGCCAACTGCAGGTTGGGAAATTCCTGGAGATTTGAGGAATGAAGCCTGGAGCGGGTGGGGTTTGAGGTGGGACCTCAGGTACAATGCCATAGACTCCACCCTCCAAACCAACCAGCCATTTCCTCCTGGGGGACCATTGCTGCCAATCTCCAGATAAGGGATGGAGATCACTCAGAATTAAAACTGCTCTCCAGTTGACAGAGATCAGTTCCCCTGGAGAAAATGGCTGCTTTTTAGGATGAACTCTGTGTCATTATACCTTTCTGAGGTCACTTCCCTCCTGCTTGGGTCCCCATTGTGGAGAAAGACCGTAGTTTTCCTAGGTAGAGGCTGCAGGTGGGGGGGGGGGATGGAAAGCTGAAGTCAGAGGAGCAGATGAAGGCAGGTTGATGGTTGGCTGGGAAGGAGATAGGGTTGCTACCTTTAAGACAGGTACAATGCCATAGACTCTACCCTCCAAACCAGTCATTTCCTCCTGGGGAACCATTGTTGCCAATCTCCAGGGGAGGGCTGGCAATCACTCAGAATTACAATTGCTCTTCAGATGGCAGAGATCAGTTCCCCTGAAGAAAAGGGTAAGCTCTGTGTCATTACACCCTGCTGAGGTCACCACAGCAAGTTAATGCTGAGTGCCCAAGGCCAGGACACCCACCCAGAGCTTCTTTCTAGAGCTCGTTGTAATTATTTCCACAACAGGCCTTATTCCTAGTGTGTGTGTGTAAAGGCTTCCCTTGCTCAAAAGCTAGTCGAATCTGACTCTAGTGGGTGGTGCTCATCTCTGTTTCCAAGCCAAAGAGCCAGCGCTCTGTGTATGTGTGTGTGTATAAATAACTTTTAGCAGATTAGTAATCTTCTTTGCAAATAAATAAGGCAGTTTTTCAGCACCCCATCCCCATACATCCTCAGCAGCTGAGCATGGCTATGGTCCATCCCTCGCTCTTTTTTTCCTCTCTTCCCTCTGCCTCTGAGGATCTCATGGAGGCACACCAGACTCTCCCCTCCACTGCCCCATCCCCAACAACAACAACCCTGTGAGGTAGGCCATGCTGAGCAACCAGTCCTGGGTTTTCCAGATGACGGTCCTGGCTCAGTAGGGGGCTCTCCCAGATCCCCTCCCCCAGTTTTCATCCTGAGTTTCCCTCAGAAGTGGCAGGGCTGAGAGAAAGGCCTAATGGCAAGGCTGTGCTTTTCATCCTCCTGCAATCCATTTTCCCTCATCAGCTGAGAACAGGGGGAGAAGGAAGGTCACCCCCCTCCCGACACTCTGCCTCCCAGTTTTATAGCTGTTCAGACATAAGGCAGTGACACCGGCATCACTTTTCCCCTTCACTCCTCCACTTGCTTCCAAGGCCAGGATGTCTTTCCCCTCAGAGTGGCATCCACAAGACTGCCCAGTTGCCTCCCAGTCCATGCTCCAATCCTCCTCTCTCCCTCGCCGGCCGTCCCTTCATTGGCAAGCCACCACTCTGCATGCTCGCTCTCGCCAACCCCCCTCATGGTTGCCATTTATAAAAAATGCAAAGCCGGTTGGTGCAACAGTGGCAGCACTGGTTTCTTGGCTCCCCCCCCCCCCATGTAATGGCTTAGCCAGTCGTCACTGAGCTGCAGTCAGAAGAGGCAGGAGGGAAAAAACACACCTTCTTTTTCTCTGCCTTTGCTTCCCTGGCCCACTATTTTACCTCAGCCTCTTAGCCCCACCCCCTAGCCATTTCTTTTCTATTTCTTGACAGCTTCAACCACGCACACCTCACTATGTGTGCCCGCTTGGCCACTCCCCCTCTCGAGCAGCCTCCTGCCTTCCTTCCTTCACACCAGTTGCTCACGGGCCAGGTAAGACCCCTGGATGGGCTGGTTCTGGCCTGTGGGCTGATGTCTCCTGTCTTAGGTTGTCATATGCTAACACACAGAGAAATCCAGTCAGGTGTAGACCAAGGTATTAATCCCCATTCTGCCATAGAAGTTGGCTGAGTGACCTTGGGTCAGTCACGCACTCTTAGCCTAACCACCTCACAGGGCTGTTGTGAGAATAACATGGAGGGCAGGAAAATGATGTAAGCCGCTTTGGGTCCCCTTTGGGGAGAAAGCTGGGCTGGGATATAAATGAATTTACACACACACACAGCCTTGTTCTAGGAGCTTATCTGACAAAAGAAGCCTTAGGGAAACACTCTGGGTGTGAATCTCAGGGGTTGCTCTCTGGAGGACAGAGTTCTGTTAATGACACACCTTACATTTCTTTCTACATGCTTTAAAGAGAGTTTATTCTTTGTTTTTAGTCTCATTTAACTATTTTCAATCCCTTCTAGTTAGCAAGGAAAGGAAAGTTAAAATGAAGGAAGTACCACAGTGAGTGGGGGTGGGGAATGTAATACTCTCATACAGTCTGGGTTGTTTGTGGAGGTTTTGGGGGTATGCTAGCTATCAGAATGATTTCCAGGAGATCAGAACTAAGGTAATGTAATTTTAGAACAAAGGGAATGATTGATGAAAATAATTTTCTTATCCTTGGCCCACAATATACAGTTCAGTCAACATTCAATGATAAAATACAGCCATTTAAAAGTAAAATACCACAAGGTTAATTGGGGTTAGGAGAAGAAAAGCAAAAGTCACAGGGAGTTCAACATCTGGGTACCTTAACTCTAAATACATTATTGCTGATCTGAAGAAAGTCCGTCCCGCTTAAATCTCATTGAAAGTAATGGATTTGAGGTCATTGTGGCTGAGTGTTGTGCAAGTAACATTATTTGGACTGAGTCCCTGCAGTTACAACATATGGTGCCAAGTGAATGTGTTTAGCATTGTAGCTACATTTTTTGACAAGCTTCCATACATGCCACTGCTCAATGGTGCCAAATACAGTTCGAATTAAAGATACTGTTCCTCTGGAATAAATCCCTTTGAAATCAATGGGACTTCTTTCTGAGCAAGCATGAGGTAT